GACAAACGGTTTATTTGACAAACCAAGCTCAATAAAAATGACAACACGAATAGCCTGTAAAAACTTCGATGTATATGAGTAGATTACTTAATAACTAACGACTCTAATGCATTGTTGAAATCTTCCTTTTTTTCGTCAAACAAACTGAAGCGCGGCCAAATATTGACCACTGTTTAAAGGCGGAGATGTGCAAACGTTCCATCTGCTCCGTTCGGTTGCGGCGATGCAACTGCTTACATAGTCATGTGTACTCGTCTGGCGCTTTGGATTACACAACCCAATACAAAAAGTAAATGTAAAGCACCATTGTTCTCGCCTTTTGAAGCGAAATTAGAATATCACCGTGTCAGCTCACTAGCTGAGGCTGAATGTATACCATAGCCGGTTAGAATGCCGCTGTAACATATTTTTACTTTATGTGTGCAAACTTGAAACGCCCTCACTAATTACCTTTTTCCTTCACCCACAATAACAGTGTGCAAAAGACTTCTCAAAGGTACACTAATATATTTACATTACACAATACAGCCCTTTATATCCGTGTGTCAACCTAACATTACCGATCTACGTGCTCATTTTCACTTCCTGCACTTCATTTCTTTAACGCTGCTCCTGTGCAATGGAGCAATGGCTTATGACAGGTATTAAAGCGGATGTTTGACAAATCTCGTAGGATGGTTAGGGTGAGAATTACAAGATTAATAAACAGCGCCGGTAAAAGAATGCGTGAGATACTTGACTCACCAATGGTTTTTTATTATCAAATATGTGAGTATTCCTACCTGGAATTTGGGAGGATAATAGCAGCATCCATTGTTTGTTCTGCACTCATGCCAATATATGAATTTCATGGACTATATCACGCAGTGTACGTATGTCAGGGTATCTTCAAGGCGTTTATTGTATAAGATTACTTGGGGCAATAATTGTATATTTGCATGACTGTGACAACTGGAGGAGAAAACCTCTCGTCGACTTTACTACGTGGTAAAATAAACTGTTGGCCACTCAGAGACGCGTTTTGGTTGAATTACAAAAATGGTGGTAGGTATGGTTAGGGTTTTTTAGGATCTGATAAACGAGTATGAGATAAGATCTTCTGTATAATGTTAGTTTTTAGCCTGAGTGGGTAGGGAAGATGGGACAAACTTCTCAAGCCGCTGCGTTGTACAGTATCAAGTGCAGTGAGGTGCTGCTTCTGCTCTGGTTGGCACGCTTGGATAGCGTATTGCGCAGACAGTCTCGTGTACGCGCTAAGTATTTTCGGAAAGAAGGATGCGTCGAATTTCCCGAACACTGTACGGAGGAGGCCGAAGTGCTGGTTTGCTTTCGGTTTCACTTTTCGGTCTGCCTAAAACAACCAAGGACACCTTTCACGTGTACGTCGAGCTCGCACTCAGGAGAAGTCCACCGCAGAATTTTTGGGCCTATCCAGTAATTGTGCGTCCTCTGATGGAGTATGCTCACAATGTTGTATCGTGGCATTAAACCGCAGCATGTTCTGAATGGACCACGTGTGGACTTTATCCAGCTTATCTTGGTGGGATGTCTCAACCTCCACTGTAGTTATAGTACCAAATATTTTTAGATCATCGGCAAGTGGTGAGAAGTTAGAAGATAGCACCGTCGCGGGATCATTTATGAAGACCAGGAGCAGGCAGGGACCGAGTATCCGACCCTGAAGTACGCTCCAATGGACTCACATTGGTTCGGAAAGGGGGCTGTAGATTTTCATGTTCATGTGATGTTGAACAAAAATGTCGCCAGTCCAACCCAGAACGTGATCGCCGATATATTAAGTATGAAGCTTGTGCAGCCGGATGTGATGGTCCAGAAGGTTGAATGCCTTTGATAAATTCAGAAGTGGCATCTACACCAGCACACACATATTCCGCCCAGCATTCATGAGCGGTCAACCTTTTGTTAGCGCATGATCAATTTTAGGGAAATCCATGGTGTTCCAGAGTCTGGAAATTTTACTCACCAGGTACCCCATGACGGACTCAGCGACAATGAACTCAATGATCTTGGAGATCACCGAAAGTAGTGTTATCACTGATTCTACACGGCTACGACTTTGAATACTGGAGTGATGATCCCGTGATTCCACTTAGTGGAGACGTACATTTTGTTACTACATCGCTTATAGTGTATTGCTAAACTCATGTCAGCCATTTTCAACACCTTCGGGCAAATGCCACGTGCACCTGGGTAGTACTTCTCCCGCAAGAACATTAGCCGATTCACTTCAACTGTGCTTGTAATGGATTTGGGGTTAGGGTCTGATGACCGCAAGGTCTGCGTAGACAGGATGTAAGATGATTTTACAATTTGAAAGGTACGGCCAAAATGCTGTCCACGAACGCTGACCGACACTTGTGCCGTTTGTGTAGGGCAAAAGTTGCGCGCTTAACGCTGAGAAGTTGATCAACGTGTCTGTATAGCAGCTTGGGATAAGAGCAACATATTCTCACCTGGTCTTGTTCCTTCTTTACTTTATCCTCCCGGACGAGTTTGACATATTGGTTCGTTTGTATTGTACCGATTTAGCAAGCGCCCTCGCTCGGAGAGACCAGGTGGGCGAACCAAGCCGAGTCCCTCAAAGCCATATATTTATGAGTCCTGCTCCTTAGAAACGACTTCATCTTTCTCAACCGGTGAATTTTGTTTTCTGATTTACTTGACACCAACGTGTTGAATCTGTAGACGGATTCTCACTAGGTCACGTTAGGAGACCATTCGACTTGGAACCACTAGCTTGTTGCACTATTGGGGTCTGACATTTCATCACAATTGGTTACCATGTGAGATTTCTCTTTGCTTTCTTTAAGGTACGCTGTATAGCACCCGTAGTGGAACAATAGTGTCGCATGATCGATGTGACGCAAATGAGTGCACGGTGTTACTACTTCGACCAGGAGCTCCTCGTTGGTAAAACAAGCTCCAAGATGGTGGGTTTGTTCCCGATCCTGAAACGCATCGGAGAATTGACATAGTTGTACATGGGTGAACCAGCCATTAGCTCTTGCATTTCCGCCTTGAATTACTCACCGATTGTGGCCGGGGTTCCTAAGACTTGCAGGTTGAAGTCCCCTACCTGAAGAAGGTGACTATGAGATCGGGCAAGTAGGCCATTCAAAACGGCAAGCGAAGTCCAGTCCATTATTAAAGTGCACATTGGTGGGAGGTATGCTATGGCCACTAAGAATCTATCACATTTCCTTACGTGTAGACAGCACTAGAAGGCGCTCAGGTTTTAAATCCCCGGATCGCTTACGCGGTAAATGAATAGGTCGGAGCAGCAGTAGAGAATTGCATCGCATTGCAGTGCATCACCTTGTAAGTAGGTCGTTACACAAGAATCACGTACAAGGTAGTGCGATCTCGGCATCGGTACTCACATCATTCAGCCGTATCGCTGTTGTCATAACGAGGTCCCAAGGCACTGATGTTCGGTGAGATCGCAGCTCTGCCAATATGCTAAAATTACCTTGCGCGTTTGTAAACGAACCACTGAGATTTTCATACGCTGGAAACGTATCTGATTACATAAATGTTTCCTGCGAATTTACGCCGACCATTACGGGACCGGCTGACAGTCGCGTTTTGAAAGTAATTCTGGCCTACCGCCCGGGTCGTTTTCAGGCTATGGTTTAGGGTATTTACTACCTAATCCTTCAGAGGTAACTTGCCGCTGATGTCTTGTTTCTTCCCCTTCGGACGGCTGGGGAGTTGCACTGCACACCAAGTTTGAATTGCATTCAGCAGTTCCCGTAACATAATCTCGCTAATTTGGTGTTCTCTCAGCATTTGGTAGCCTGGCTTCGACCGCCTCCTAATGTATCGCTGATGGCAGTTTAATGCGTAAATTGCGTCAACCTCTGTGCATTATTGCCATCATTTGTTTGGAATAGAGCAGAACCTTTTGCACCCTTGTACCACATCTTTTATAGTTGAGTGAGATGGGTAACGTGACGCTGACTTGGCACTCATGTCGTAAACAAAAACTTTTTATTTATTTGTTATTTTTAATTTTTATTATTTTTTTTTTTTTTTTTTATGACATGAGTGCCAAGTCAGCGTCACGTTACCCATCTCACTCAACTATAAAAGATGTGATACAAGGGTGCAAAAGGTGCTGCTCTGTTCCAAACAAATGATGGCAATAATGCACGGAGGTTGACGCAATTTACGCATTAAACTGCCCTCAGCGATACATTAGGAGGCGGTCGAAGCCAGGACACCAAATGCTGAGAGAACACCAAACCAGCGAGATTATGTTACGGGTACTGCTGAATGCAATTCAAACTTGGTGTGCAGTGCAACTCCCCAGCCGTCCGAAGGGGAAGAAACAAGACATCAGCATCAAGTTACCTCTGAAGGATTAGGTAGTAAATACCCTAGACCACAGCCTGTAAAGGACCCGGGCGGTAGGCCAGAATTACTTTCAAAACGCGACTGTCAGCCGGTCCCGTAATGGTCGGCGTAAATTCGCAGGAAACATTTATGTGTTCAGATACGTTTCCAGCGTATGAAGACCACAGTGGTTCGCTTACAAACGCGCAAGGTAATTTTAGCATATTGGCAGAGCTGCGATCTCACCGAACATCAGTGCCTTGGGACCTCGTCATGACAACCGAGATACGGCTGAATGACGTGAGTACCGACGCCGAGATCGCACTACCTTGTATGTGATTCTTGTGTAACGACCGACTTACAAGGTGATGCACTGCAATACCATGCAATTCTCTACTGCTGCTTCGACCTATTCATTTACCGCGTAAGCGATCCGGGGATTTAATACCTGAGCGCCTTCTAGTGCTGCCTACACCTAAGGAAATGTGATAGATTCTTAGTGGCCATAACATACCTCCCACCAATGTGCACTTTAATAATGGACTGGCGTTCGCTTGCCGCTTTGAATGGCCTACTTGCCCGAAAAAAAAAAAAACAAATGAGAAAAAATTAAAGAAAAAAAAAAAAATAAAGAAAAAGAAAATTTAGAAAAAAAAAAAAAAAAAAAAAGAACCCCACCCCCCCCCCCCCCCCCCCCCCCCCCCCCCCCCCCCCCCCCCCCCCCCCCCCCCCCCCCCCCCCCCCCCCCCCCCCCCCCCCCCCCCCCCCCCCCCCCCCCCCCCCCCCCCCCCCCCCCCCCCCCCCCCCCCCCCCCCCCCCCCCCCCCCCCCCCCCCCCCCCCCCCCCACCCCCCCCCCCCCCCCCCCCCCCCCCCCCCCCCCCCCCCCCCCCCACCCCCCCCCCCCCCCCCCCCCCCCCCCCCCCCCCCCCCCCCCCCCCCCCCCCCCCCCCCACCCCCCCCCACCCCCCCACCCCCCCCCCCCCCCCCCCCCCCCCCCCCCCCCCCCCCCCCCCCCCCCACCCCCCCCCCCCCCCCCCCCCCCCCCCCCCCCCCCCCACCCCCCCCCCCCCCCCCCCCCCCCCCCCCACCCCCCCCCCCCCCCCCCCCACCCCCCCCCCCCCCCCCCCCCCCCCCCCCCCCCCCCCCCCCCACCCCCCCCCCCCCCCCCCCCCCCCCCCCCCCCCCCCCCCCCCCCCCCCCACCCCCCCCCCCCCCCCCCCCCCCCCCCCCCCCCCCCCCCCCCCCCCCCCCCCCCCCCCCCCCCCCCCCCCCCCCCCCCCCCCCCCCCCCCCCCCCCCCCCCCCCCCCCCCCCCCCCCCCCCCCCCCCCCCCCCCCCACCCCCCCCCCCCCCCCCCCCCCCCCCCCCCCCCCCCCCCCCCCCCCCCCCCCCCCCCCCCCCCCCCCCCCACCCCCCCCCCCCCCCCCCCCCCCCCCCCCCCCCCCCCCCCCCCCCCCCCCCCCCCCCCCCCCCCCCCCCACCCCCCCCCCCCCCCCCCCCCCCCCCCCCCCCCCCCCCCCCCCCCCCCCCCCCCCCCCCCCCCCCCCCCCCACCCCCCCCCCCCCCCCCCCCCCCCCCCCCCCCCCCCCCCCCCCCCCCCCCCCCCCCCCCCCCCACCCCCCCCCCCCCCCCCCCCCCCCCCACCCACTACCCCAACATCCTGTCTGGTCCAACCCCCATCCAACAACGCCCCCCTTCCCCACACTGTAGACCAACCCGCTGCCCATCCCTCTCACCTGGCAGTACACCCATAGTCCCACTATATCAAATACTCCGCTGCGTAACAGGAATCGGGCACCCACACCCCCCCAACTAGGAGCTGTATATACCAAATGATTGCTCACCATGACTCCTAATAAAGCCGACCGTGCACCTCATTTATTGTCGTCACGCTCTGATCGTGCGACACTATTGTTCCACTACGGGTGCTATACAGCGTACCTTAAAGAAAGCAAAGAGAAATCTCACATGGTAACCAATTGTGATGAAATGTCAGACCCCAATAGTGCAACAAGCTAGTGTTTCCAAGTCGAATGGTCTCCTAAAGTGACCTAGTGAGAATCCGTCTACAGATTCAACACGTTGGTGTCAAGTAAATCAGAAAACAAAATTCACCGGTTGAAAAAGATGAAGTCGTTTCTAAGGAGCAGGACACATAAATAAATGGCTTTGAGGGACTCGGCTTGGTTCGCCCACCTAGTCTCTCCGAGCGAGGGCACTTGCTAAATCGGTACAATACAAACGAACCAATGTGTCAAACTCGTCCGGGAGGATAAAGTAAAGAAGGAACAAGACCAGGTGAGAATATGTGGCTCTTTTCCCAAGCTGCTATACAGACACGTTGATCAACTTCTCAGCGTTAAGCGCGCAACTTTTGCCCTACACAAACGGCACAAGTGTCGGTCAGCGTTCGTGGACAGCATTTTGGCCGTACCTTCCAATTGTAAAATCATCTTACCATCCTGTCCTACGCAGACCTTGCGGTCATCAGACCCTAACCCCAAATCCATTACAAGCACAGTTGAAGTGAATCGGCCTAATGTTCTTGCGGGAGAAGTACTACCCAGGTGCACGTGGCATTTGCCCGAAGGTGTTGAAAATGGCTGATATGAGTTTAGCAATACACTATAAGCGATGTAGTAACAAAATGTACGTCTCCACTAAGTGGAATCACGGGATCATCACTCCAGTATTCAAAGTTGTAGCCGTGTAGAATCAGTGATAACACTACTTTCGGTGATCTCCAAGATCATTGAGTTCATTGTCGCTGAGTCCGTCATGGGGTACCTGGTGAGTAAAATTTCCAGACTCTGGAACACCATGGATTTCCCTAAAATTAATCATGCGCTAACAAATGTTGATCGCTCATGAATGCTGGGCGGAATGTGTGGGTGCTGGTGTAGATGCCACTTCTGAATTTATCAAAGGCATTCAACCTTCTGGACCATCACATTCGACTGCACAAGCTTCATACTTAAGATATAGGCGATCACGTTCTGGGCTGGACTGGCGACGTTTTTGTTCAACATCACATGAACATGAGAATCTACAGCCCCCTTTCCGAACCAATGTGAGTCCATTGGAGCGTACTTCAGGGTCCGATACTCAATCCCTGCCTGCTCTTGGTCTTCATAAATGATCTCGCGACGGTGCTATCTTCTAACTTCGCACCAACTGCCGATGATCTAAAAATATTTGGTACTATAACTACAGTGGAGGATGAGACATCCCACCAAGATAAGCTGGATAAAGTCCACACGTGGTCCATTCAGAACATGCTGCAGTTTAATGCCACTATGCAAAATTGTGAGCATACTCCATCAGAGGACGCACAGTTACTGGATAGGCCCAAAAATTCTGCGGTGGACTTCTCCTGAGTGCGAGCTCGACGTACACGTGAAAGGTGTCTTTGGCCGTTTTAGGCAGACCGAAAAGTGAAACCGAAAGCAAACCAGCACTTCAGCCTCCTCCGTACAGTGTTCGGGAAATACGACGCATCCTTCTTTCCGAAAATACTTAGCGCGTACACGAGACTGTCTGCGCAATACGCTATCCAAGGGTGCCAACCAGAGCAGAAGCAGCACCTCACTGCACTTGATACTGTACAACGCAGCAGCTTGAGAGGTTCGTCCCACCTTCCCTACCCACTGAGGCTAAAAACTAACGTTATACAGCGGATCTTATCTCATAATCGTTTGTCAGATCCTAAAAAACCCTAACCACATTTACCATTATTTTTGTAATTCAGCCAAAACGCGTCTCTGAGTGGTCAACGGTTTATTTTACCACGTAGTAAAGTCAACGAGAGGTTTTCTCCTCCAATTGTCACAGTCATGCAAATATACAATTGTTGCCCCAAGTAATCTTATTCAATAAATGTCTTGAAGATACCTTGACACACGTGCACCGCGTGAAATAGTCCATGAAATTCAGCTTTTGACATGAGTGCAGAACAAACAATGGATGCTGCTATTATCCTCCCAAATTCCAGGCAGGAATACTCACATATTTGATAATAAAAACCCTTGGTGAGTCAAGTATCTCACGCATTCTTTTACCGGCAATGTTTATTAATCTTGTAATTTCACCCTAACCATCCTACGGGAGTTGTCAAACATCCGCTTTAATACCTGTCATAAGCCATTGCTCCATTGCACAGGAGCAGCGTTAAAGAAATGAAGTGCAGGAAGTGAAAATGAGCACGTAGATCGGTAATGTTAGGTTGACACACGGATATAAAGGGTTGTATTGTGTAATGTAAATATATTAATGTATCTTTGAGACGTCTTTTGCACACTGTTATTGTGGGTGAAGGAAAAAGGTAATTGGTGAGGGCGTTTCAAGTTTGGCACACACAAAGTAAAAATATGTTACAACGGCATTCTAACCGGCTATGGTGTACAGTCAGCCTCAGCTAGTGAGCTGTCACGGTGATATTCTAATTTAGCTTCAGAAGGCGACAACAATGATGCTTTACATTTACTTTTTTGTATTGGGGTGTGTTATTCAAAGCGCCAGACGAGTACACATGACTACGTAAGCAGTTGCATCGCCGCGACCGAACGGAGCAGATGGAAGGTTTGCACATCTCCGCCTTTAAACAGTGGTCAATATTTGGCCGCGCTTCAGTTTGTTTCACGAAAAAAGGAAGATTTCAACAATGCAGCAGAGTCGTTAGTTATTAAGTGATCTACTCATATACATCGAAGTTTTTACAGGCTATTCGTGTTGTCATTTTCATTGAGCTTGGTTTGTCAAATAAACCGTTTGTCCCTGATTGACCGGCTTATGCGACGCCGTTTATGGTCCCGATAGTTTAAGTAAAGCAATTTTCCCGCTGCTATTCAATAAGCGAAGTCAATGACAAATATCTGCATATTTATATTGTTTGTCTCGATGGCTCAGGTATGGTTTAAACCCTGGAAGTATAGAGTAGCCACTTCAATGGGAATGAAATAAGACCAACAAAGGTTTGTGTGTCATACGATCAATTTTCCTTCGCTAACACCTGAGGCTGTTTGTGACCACCATGTCATAGTCAGCCGTTATCATAACATGATCAGCGAATTGTATTTGGTTTGTTGCACAGGAGCAAGTTGTGCTAAAACCGCATTGTGCACCGTTGAGCAAGTTTTAGCATGTCAGAAACTGAATAACTGAATGCTGGACAATCATTTCTAAATCTTCGGCGTCTGCAGTTGTGTGGCTTAGAGGTTAATGGTTACACGTCTGTTTGTGTCTTTTCTACGTTTTTATATAATTGTAAAAATGTTCTGCTGAGGCGGGTAACATCCAATGATTAATGGTAGTGTAATGTCAACCACTGGATGTTATCCGCTTGCAACATGATACTATAAGACCTGTTTCGCGTTCGTTTACACTCATCGCAAACCATTCATACTACATGTGCTTCGAAATGGCCCTTCAATCTCATCAGTCACCGTTGTGACAAACATTGGCTATTGCTACTCGATAACTTAGGGGTAGAGATCTTCGCGGACACCCTAAAGGTCCCGGGTTTTAGTCGCATTTAATGTTGAATAGATTATGATGAGCGCAAACTAGCACCATACATGTCGTGGAGTACATTGTTACGACGGCACAGCATCCAATGCTTATTTGTTCCGGAAACGGTCCAAGTGACCGTATCGACCAACAGGCTGCACGGAGTCTACCAATGCCGAAGTATTAGTCAATGTCGTCTACTTGAACTTCTTTAAGGCATTCGATCGCCTGGATCACTGCATTCTGCTTCACATTCTTCGAGGATATGGAATCAGTGAGTCTGTCCTGGATTGGACAAACAGTAACTTCAGATAACTTCATTCACACACACGCGTGACGTGCGTGCTCTCCGGTCATTCGGATTGTTCCTCTCTATCCTCTCTCCATCTGCTCACAACGTTGCCACTGTACGCTTATTCGAACCGGCTCGACGTGCTCTTTTTAACGCGCAGTGTATTTCAAATCCCCGCATTAAAAACGACTATGGCCCGTGGGTTTTACATTTTTCGTTTTCTCTGTGGAGAAATGCGCGAGGAATTTTTTTGGTTTGCATCCTACACACAAATTGGGATCTTTTTTGGAGCACTTTAACAACTACGCGATTGCTTTGATCGATAGCTGTGTAAGGCAGATACAGGCAGCAATAAAAGGGATCTACTGCTAATCTTTTGATTGTGTCGCAGTAACTGAGACTGCACTTAAAACCAACCTACCGGCCACACACCACTATATTGCTACCCCAAGAATCGCTTTGTCCAGATCGATAGCGTTTGCTTCGTTCACAGGCCTGTCTGGGTTCACCTGCAACCGCTTATGACCTGCCACGAGGAACGCCTGTGCTTACCCGACTGCTAACCGTTGTGTCATTGGAATTGGTGGAGATCGCTTTTCCAAAGCAAAAGCGTGTGCATTTCGGAGGTGGAGATTCAAATAGTTCACAACGGTCCGTTCTTTTTGTTCCTAATTAAATCGCACAGTTTGTGGGAGTTGCGATATTTACCAGCATTATATAATGGACCTGGATTTTCAGTTGAGGATGAGAGGTTAGCACCAATTGTTTTAGCTCCACTGCTTTTGCTTCAATGTATCTTACTTCGGTTTCATTATCATGTCTACAGTATGGACACGCTCGATGAGGAAAATAAGTATTATGGGCCAGGATGTTTACACTTTATTTCAAAATCTGAGACGAACTAAGGTACTTCGCACAAAGGCTGGAAGC